CCCAATTTCTATTCATGCTCTTTACATTCGAATAACATACAAACGTGCAATGCGAATACTCACTTGCAGCTTGTAAAGTACACTGCAATACCACAGCCGCCATTTTTACATCACAAATAATTCAGGGATTACAGAACCAATCTATGACTAGCACAGATGTGGAGGCACTATGAATATCGCAAAAATGTTGGTTCACTATTGAACTATTGAACAGCATAGGGATACATCAAAACTGTTACGTTGGCATGCCTGATTATTATTCGAGATTTCAGTATTTAACATTAGATGACGGTGATTGCAGTTTATGTTACAAATTTTATCAATCTTTCAATGCTTTCAGTTGACGCAGTTGATTGACAGTAAGGTAAAGGGATGGGGGTCGTGGTTGTCAAGTGCGGGGTGTGGATGTGTTACATTTATACGATCTAATACTGTAGATTTGTTGCGTTGAACATCGCATTAAATATGGCGAATACGTCAGAAAATTACACTTAGGGTGTTCTGATTTTACATTAAGTCTTGCAGGTGCTCCGGGAAGAATGGGACAAGCGGAAAGTTCAGATAACGTAATCCCAGAAACGGTAGAAAGTATACAAGAAGATATTTGTCGACATGCTAGACTTTTTTCCGACATAGCTGGCCTGACGTATGAGGATTTCCAGTCAAGTCTTGCAAAGCTGAACACATTGTAAGTTTATACATTTTAGAGATGCATTGTTTTCACTAGCACATTTGAGGAAATATAAACAGCGTTTCATGAAGTCTTCAACGCAGGCACGTTTACTTAAGTCAGCAGTAAGCATAATAAAATTATGTGGTAAAATTAGCACTTGGTCCAGTCAGTCTTGAAACATAAGAATTTTCAGAGAAATTCAGTGGTTAATGTCTGCACTTTCATGTCCCCATAACAAAATTGTCCTATGAGTAGAATTTAATTAAGACATTTACGAGATGTAATTTCTACCACATTGTGACCAGTTTTGCATCTTTCTTTCAAAGGTGACATTTATAATTTGATTCCACTCCTTTGAATATTGATTTCTGTGTATTATGTAGTCTAGTAGTTCTTTACCATTGTCCGTTCAGGTCTTTGGTAAACATCTACCTAGCAACTAGATAACCTAATGAAATTACTTACAGCTAATCGCCAGAAATTTGAGGTTCTTAAGGTGGTTACTATGAAGATTAGTGTCTTCTGGCATGTGATGGATGTAATCTTAGTAGTTCTTTGTTACTGTCAGTCCAAGTCATTCAGTAAACATCTACTGGGCCACATAGCATCAAATACCATAAGACATTAATCCTCACAATTTTCTGTAGACTGAAACAGAACCAATTCCTGACATTTATGTTTTCAATATGTTTCATACATTGGGTAATGTCCAATATAATTATGATGTATCATGCTATCTACATTATTTTTTTTCCTTTCCCATACCAGCTTTCTGTCAACATAGTTTGAACAGTGAGAAATGAGCACCTATATCTGTTTTCTAAATTCTATTTACATATGTTGTGCTATTGTGAGTTCCTTGTGGAGCCCACTTGTTGAATCCCAGTAACTTTCATAAAGTCAGTTGGTTGGTTACTGTAATTTATTTAGCATGCAGGTTTGCTGATGGGATAATTGTTGAGAATGGCACCGTGCTAGGACACAGTATCTCTTCTGTTTTCACCTACCTTTCCACCTAGGTGTTCTTTCTGAAGTGAGTATGTTAAAATGTTGCAGGGAATGTATTAATGAGTTAAATGTCTGAACAAGTAACGTGAACCAAATCATAACAGACAGGACACAGTGGTGCAGGGGTATGTGTATGTGAAAGAAAGGAAAAGAGTGCTTTGCCTCATAAACATTTGAGAGATTCTTACTGTGCATGGTGTTTATCCGTCTTAAGTCTTCTACTTCTCTTCCCAGGTCAAAGCAGTGCGTGGACAACAATGGAAGACGACTTGTTTTTGCAGTGAAGAAAGGTACTGATTCATCTTTGCTCTGGAAAGGAACAGTGAGAATTGCGTGTGTTAAAGTGGATCCGATTACGAAGAAAATTGATACATACAGACTTCTGAACCTCAGCGAATTTCTGAGGGTAAATTAAATATATGTACTTATGATATACGAACCCATTATTTTACTCATTCTCACATTCCCCATAGTCAAATCACTGCTTTTACAGGAAGGAGCTTTGACAATGTAAGTTAGTGTTCTTTGCTCATGATTACATGATTACATGGTTACCCAAGTGCATGAATTTTTAGTGAAAGTCCCTCCCAGTAACTTGGAGCTGAACCTGTGATAAACAGTACAAATGAAGATTTGAATATGACTGACTTTCCATCAAATTAAGTTGACATGTTCTGAGACAGCTATGAAAGTTCAGAAGCCTGGTCACATGTTTGGGGTGGACAGTAGCATGCATGAAGCAGAAAGCAGGATGTTGTCGCTATTTTTTTTTTTTTGGTTGGCTGAAGTTTTAAGCACTGTTTTGCATAGTTCAGCCAGTACAGTGTCTAAGCCATGGATTGGATGACCAGGAAATCTTAACTGAGTTCCCAGCAGGGTCAGACATTTTTCTCCTCTCTGCCTCATCCAGTGCTGTCCAACGTTCTTATGTACTCGGGCACAATTCACTGATGCCTATGGAGGTGCGGGNGTGCCCGCGGGTGCCGCGTTGGACAGGGCTGACCTCATCTGTATTGGTCTTGCCTCCTATCCAGTGGGTATTGGGATTTCTTTCTCTAAGAGAAAAGTGGCTGGGGCATTAGGCCTACCAGCTATCTTCGTCTCTTGCTGAGGTTGCTACTAATTTCATGCACTTTACATTCTTTAAGAGGGATATTTACTTTGCCCTTTGAATATGTGAATTCGGTAAATCAGGAACAGAGGAATAACCTGTGATAGTGTATAGAATAAAAAGCATTTGTAGAAGAATCCCATCATCTAGGATGTAATCCCTGTAGTTAGGTGAAAGTCGGCTAATGTTTCAGGAGATCATGTCACTTCCATCTTCATGGTTGAAGAGTAAGCCAAGCAAGAAATCAGCATGAATCAAGCAGCAAGCCTGTATGTTGTGTTATAGATCAGATTTGATTACATTTATTTGATTTTTTTGGTAAAATGGCAAGAAATCATACCAACCAAAATATGAATGCCTATCTAATGTATGTAGACCTTAGATTATATCTTTCAGTACAGCAGAATATTCCATACATATAGATCCAAGTGACCTCTAATTTTCTATTCTTACTGTAGTGAATTATATGTTCCTAGTTTTATAGATTATATTAGTGTCAGATGGGATGATGATTATGAAAGATGAGGAAAAAGAAAACTGAAGAATGTCTCCCAAGATTGCAGGTTTCTGATCAAGAATGGAACCAATGGATTTATATATAAGAATTACACATGCCAACCACTCAACTGTGATATTTGAAGACCTACAAGGGTCTATGAAGCTTAGTTCATTAATCTGACAAAAGTTTACTCACCAGATGTTTCTCCACAAGGCATATTGCACCTATACTGTTGTGACCGTTCCATGCCAGCCTGTCATATCCTGTGTTCCAGGGGTTTGGATCCTTTCTAAGTTGCGGGAAGATGTTAGATGTAGCCAAGCAGTAGCTTTATAGTTTCTTCTGTTCCTATACCAAGTCAAGCTGTCCATGATCAGTATTCAGAAACTGGGTGAGCGCCATTGAATAGTGAAAGCTCATGACAGTACTTCAGCCAGATGATATAGAAATTTATTGATATGAAATAAGCAGACAAGTTACAGACTGGTTGTGTAGGCCAGACCAAGAGCACAGTTGAGATTTCTAAGTCTCCTTTGAAGAGCAGTCTGAGGTAGACTGCCTCTATGGAATTTATTAAAGACGTCCTCCCTTTGAAGCCCACCGCTGGGTCTATTAGGGTCCCCCACACAGAAGAGATTGGTACTGTGCATCTGTTCCCACGACCTGTATACCTTGTTACAAACTATAAATTCCATCATAATTCTAGGTGGCAGTCGGACAGCATGGGATGCAGTTGCCGAATCTGAGGTTCATTTCCAAGCCATTACCCTCAAGAAATATTCATCTGTCACTGCACCTCTGATATAAAATCATGCAGGTGTGCTGTCCCTATGATTCCTGGATGCTAAAAGTTACCAACAAAATGTGATAACTCAATGCTATGCCACATAACTACATTTCTCTACCCAGTACAATGATACACAACCATGAAAGGTTACATATAAAGTTATATTGCAATGTCCTTTTGCATTGCATAGATCTGTACATATAAAAGTTACATAAAATACAGAGTTTTGCTTCCTGTAACCATCCAGGATGCTACACTACTTTGTCATTGCAGAAGAGACATAACATAAAATAGGCATACTGTTCCTTATATTATTTAATGCTTATAGATTTATTGTTCTGTATTTTGAAGAAATAAAAAATGAGAGTTGAGTTAAAGATTTTTCCATTTATGAGTCTTAATTTTTCGCTCATCATGGATGAACAGGCAAGAAATTCTGTTGAACTCCAATAATTTGCTTTATTTGAACAGATGTATAAAATAGAATTTTACTGTTTATGTTTGCAGGTGTTCAGGACATTACAGTGTCAGCTAGCAGCTGCACAACAGAGTTCACATTTGGAAAACACTTCAAATTCCTCCAGTAGCGAAGTGTCAGCCAGCAGCAGTACAGGGGACAGCTCTTTGCCAGTAACAATGGACAAAAAGCTGCTGACAGCTAGCATGCTGCTGGAGGAAGTTGACAGTTCAACAGGATGCTGCAGTGGGGCTGGCGAGCGACTCAATGAATGCTGCATTTGTCTGGAGAGGAAACCAGATGTGATGCTTCCATGTGCTCACAGCTACTGTATGCCATGCATAGAACAGTGGTGAGTCCTCATGAAACAGCTATTAAGCCAGTATATCTGTGTATTTAATGACCTCAGTTAAGTGCATGCTTAGTAGGATCTGAGGTTATGAAGAGTACTAGCTTCTGGGATATAATGCCATGTAGTCAACCAATGTTTCAGAGGAGCATGTCAGCTCCATCTTCAGGGTCAAAGAATAATCCAAGCAAGAGACCAGCATGAGGCAGGCAGAAAGATTGAGGCAACATGTTCCTACAAAAGTCTATTGACTTTCAGCAGACATGGCATTACATCCCTGAAGATAGAACTCTTCAAGTACATGCTTAATTTGTTAAGTCAGAATTTAAATGCCACATAGAGGGACAATGGGACTGAGCAAGGTGGCACAAGAGGTAATGCTTCTGATTTGTATGAGAGGTTCCTGGTTTAAAACCCAAGGAGACTATTTTGAAGGAGATAGCAGCCAAAATTGAGTAAGTTAAGCCAGCATTTCTTTTTTTAATCAGTCCAGGAACTCTCCAATAACACATTCTTGTAACTGTCCCCATTCTGTGTACAGAAGTGTAAATTGATGTCCACAGGAATGTGAACAACAAGACATGTCCTATCTGCCGTGAGACCTTAGACAGCACAGATGATACATGGGTAATATCTGAAGTCCCAGGCTCACACGAGATAAGTGAAGAGATCTTCTGTTCTCTAATGGATCTAGCTTCATCAGCTGCAACTCCAACATAGCATGTTATATATAACTGAAACTCCAGGATGTCTAACTGTCTGCATTGGTAATTGTGTAGAATTCATTGACAGTAGAAGAGTAGTTAGTGTTTGATTTGAGATTCTCACAGTGGTGTATATGAAACTTACTGTCTCCTTGGATGTGATACTTTGTAATTTGGTAGATACATACCAACATTTTGGATGAACCTACTGTCTTCATATTCAGGGCAGGTGATGGAGTCAGTACATTCCTCCAGAATGTTGGTACATATCCACCAGATTGCACAGCATCACCTCCCAGAAGACTGTAATCTGACACTTTTCGTGACTTTCAAGTTTATGCTGTCTTCTGTTGCCAGTGTATATGTGTTTTAGATTTTACAATCTGGAATAATGAACTTGCAGTTGACTGAAGAACATAAATATTGTATAGTCCCAAAATTAAGATTTCCTGAACTATAAAGCTAACAAGATTAAAAGGATATATGTATACTTTAGTTTGCATACACACCATTTATGACCTGTTTTGGGTTGTAGTATTTTGTTATTTTGCAAGAAAGTTTTGATGTTACTGTTTTATAATCTAAGATGGTGTTGAAGGCCCTCCTTCAGTGTATGCACAAGATGCAGTAGTGAAGATGGAAAGGAACACATGAGAACATGAGTTCTTTCTATTGGGTTAAATTGCCAGTGAAGAGAATCTTTGAATTAATGATTCATTCAGGAGTTTGTTTGGGTTCCTGGGTTCACAGTGAAAACTCAAGAGTTCTAATATTACCCTCATTGATAATTTCTACAGTTCTATTCTAGATATAAGTCACAAAGTGTGACACTATATCACAGTTAAGTGGGTAACATGCATCATATTCACGAAGTCCCACATCCAAATACCAGCCCAGAATCCAGAATCCTGATTGAGATTTTCTCAGTTCCTCCAGGAATTGCTGTAGGTAGTACCTCCTCACATTAGGGCATGAGTCCTTGCTTGCACATTGATTTTGATTCATTATTTACTAATCACCCTATTATATGATGTTATATAGTCAAGTTACTGATAGCATCATTAAATAAACCATATGTACATATAACTGTGATAAAGATATGTTCCACTGTTCCTAAGTTATATATAGGGACTGGTTTTTATGCCCTAATAATCCCTTAAATATGTATGCTTTATGTATGAATAACTTCCAAATATGCTAATAAAAAGTTCATTCCAAATATTAAAATTGATTTTACATTATTTTAAGACCAACAAATCAACATTTAAGTTAATTTTATGTAATCACTGAGTGATTAAAATTGGTTCTCGCAGAAGTGGTACATTCAGTGCTACTGCCTTTAAGCTGTACTATACAAATCATGCAACAAAGCCAACATTTTTTCATTACAGGTTATAAGAAAACAATGGTACTCACATTTCGCTCTCAAAGCTTTCAACTTCTCTTCTCTTGCAGTTCATAATTTCTAAATGTTTTAGGCTTTCCATAGTTAGTCCCCTCCTATTGTCTTGTAAGATGTCCTTACAGCGGGAAAAGCTTCTTTCCACCTCACAGGAACTTAAGGGCACGTGTACAAAAGCCACTATTTGCTCCACTGTTAGTAATGTTTTATTTGTCAGTTAAGTACGTTTACTGGCTAAACTTTCTGAAATTTCACAAATTTGTTAATATCGTGGGCTTTTTTAAACAATGCTGTTTACTTTTTCCTTTACTACTTCACAAAATCTTCTAGAAACTGAATTCAATTTAGAAACCGTGGTTTTTAATATACTTAATGATTGATACAAAGTAGTGTTGCTATTGCTTGCCTTCAGTAAGGAAATGGTGGATCGAAGATGAGAGAAGTGAGCAGATATATTCTAAAGATTAGTTTCTAGTTCTGCGTTTTTAGTACATCTTTGGCAATCTGAGTCGATGCTGCACTTTTGAGATAAAATGTATTCACAACATTTCTGTTTCTAAATGTTTGGTATAACTCGCGGCACACAGCCACATGTCCCAGCACATTAAAATTGGTTCTTGCAGAAGTGGAACATTCAGTGCTACTGCCTTTAAATACTTCTTTTCTATATGGTTCTAGGGAAATGAAATAACTGGTGGTCATTCAGATTACTGTGAACTTTGACTGGCCTTTGCAACAGCATTTATCAAATCGTCTGGAGTAACCTTCCTCATTCTGGAGAATCTACATTTATTTCTTTCTCACTGTCTACTGATTCTAAAGCAAGCTGGCTTAACTGTTCTGGTTAGTCATGGGGTAACATCCTATCACTCATCATTACATTGGGTCATTCAGCTTATGTTTCTGTGATGAGAATCAAAATGTTATATTTTAGCGTCCTGTTGCACTGATTTAAGTCCATGATTTATTTTATCCGTCTTCTAGTGCATACATTTATTTATCCCCTCTTTTCACTCTCACTACATGTTTCGGCATCAATGTGCCATCTTCAGGTGCTGATCCAATCCACGACAAACTAATTCATTGCATGCCTTGTCTTTACATACTAAAATAACTAAAATATATATTTATCATATATACTGACAAATGTCAAGTGTTAAAATACTAAAATTGTACAGCATATTTCTTTCCTACGTCGTGTTTCATTACGCGAGTCATGTCTATCATCCTCTGTTGGAGCACTCTCTCTTTCACTATCATGTATCTGTAACATGAATTTGTTATTCATTAATACCGCGTTCTGCAGCCTATCTATTACTTGTGGTATTATGATTTTAATGTTTAATACTCACTGTGCTCTGTGTTGCGTCTCGCTCCTGTGACTGCGTGTGTTATACTGCTGGACCTGCTGGGTATGTGTGTGTGTGCTGTCTTCGTTTTGAGTGAGTTATGATGTTGTGGGCGTAGTTGTGGTGGGGGTACTTGGTGGGGTGTTGTTATGTTGTTCTGTGTAGATGTTGCTTAATTCGTGAATTCGTGCAATGAATTAGTTTGTCATGGATTGGATCAGCACCTGAAGATGGCACATTGATGCCGAAACATGTAGTGAGAATGAAAAGAGGGGATAAATAAATGTATGCACTAGAAGACGGATAAAATAAATCATGGAGAATCAAAATATTAAGCAAAGGTTACATAACACATATTCAGTTAACTATTAAATGAAGTTTTAGTATGTCATACATTTTCTGAGCTTCACACTACAAGAATCAAGAACATAAATCCTCCTATGACCATCCACACACATTATGAGGTACCTAGCATAATACTAAGGATGTGGCTATGAGCACTAGTAAAATGTATGAAATGTAAATCTAAACATTTAGCCGTAATGTTCCCAAGTTTATAGAACTCACCATAAGGCACAAGTTCAGTAGATGACATGAATCTTTGTCCTTGCATTGTGTAGGCTGCAGATAATTTTATTACACTATTATATTATTGGTTTTGTTAGTCAAAAGTGAGCACTTCTTTCTTATTTAGTGAGCACAATAAACTAAGGTACACCATTGTTAGAATTATCCTATATGATGCAGTTCATGGGCATAATTTACATTTTCTGCCATTAATAGAGACAAAATATTCACACCACTCAACAGAAACTCCGTGGTCTTAGTCCACAAGCGAACTATACTGACTGAGAAAGTGCTGCTTGTCAGCAAAGTTAGTGCCAACTTTTGCAGATACAGAGTGTCGCGTGGTCAGCACAACATCCCCATGGCCGTTAATCTCAGTTTTCTAGATCAAGGCTGCCACTTTTTCATTCAAGTAGCTCCTCAATTATGCTCACGAGGCTGAGTGGACCCCATTCCAGACCCACTACTTCTCATAAAATCTGGTAGCCCTGGGAATCGAACCCAGGAACTCTGACCACTAGACCACAGAGTTTGTCAGTACCACTCGATCAGTTCACAAATCTGAAAAACTTCTGCCATTACAGAAATATTTTAACTAAAAAATATTCAAGCAAATGAAACTTTATCATGCAATACTGAATAATATGACATAGCTCTTGGCTGCAGATGAAGTCAGAGTTGCCACACTGCTTAAGCTACACCCAGTGAAGACATGTGGGGGCATACAATCCAACACCTTGCAACTGGGTGGGGGATGGTGTCAGTTTCACACTTTGATAGCTCACTTCCAGAACACAGCTGTCACAGCACCCATTGCATAATGAACTGATCAGCTCCAGAACCTGTGCACTTTTAGGGCTGAGAGAGAAACCCATTCCTATTGGGAACAACCCCAGTCATCCAGCCAGCAGCCAGTGCACTTTATTCACTGGACCATCCTGACTCTCCCCCCCCCCCCTTTCCAGATTCCATACAAATTATTATGCTTGTTTCTGGTTTACAAACCCACACATATGAGTTGGGGCACTATGCTACAAGCCGGAAGGTTGCAGGATCGAATCCTGATGAGGTCATTGGATTTTTTCAATTGCCCTAATCCTTCAAGCCACACTATGGCACTGGGGTTGACTCAGTCTCTAACAGTAATGAGTACCAGGAATATTCTTGGGGGTAAAGGGCAGCTGGCATGTAGGGCTGACAACCTTACCGCCATCTATGAGCCGATTGTCTAGAAAATGTGGGAACCTCAACATCTCACAACCTTATGGGCCTCCACGGCCTGTTATGGGGATACCTTTACTTTACTTTACTTTACTTACACATCTATGAGAGCAGCTTGGAGAAAACAGCCTAAAAATTCTAGAAGGAGTTAAGGCCCTCAAGAGTTTCATGGTACACCCCTTTGTGCAACTAGTATGTGTCCTCACAAATGAAGGTCTACTGAGAGAAGATCTATGACACAAGCTGCTTCTGCCATGCACCAACACAGGAGACAGACTAATACTACTATACAGACAAAAGAAGGAGAATGAAATGTGTTTCAAATTCTACTCCATGGAAGCTGTGATTAACAGACTGGAAAAAGCCAAACTGTAATCTTAGATATTTATTCATGCATCTGGCCGTGCATGGCTTCCACCATAATATTTACCAAACAGAGGGTTACCATTCCCCAAACAAAAACTGCCGTTTTAAGCCATGCAATTCAGACTGCAGGAGATACCACATCATAGACTGGAAGTGCGGACTAGATCACTGACCACTTATGCAAAATAAAATTAATGAACAAGGTGCGAAATACACTACCTTTTTAAACTTATGGTTATAAATTATGTAGAAAGGAATGGAAATTGCACTTTTTCCTCCCTCAATATATTAGTAGTAATTTTCTTAACATCAATCTAACATGTAAAATTATACTCTTAAAAGTGGCATTCACATATTTAATTTACAGTTTTCAGACATAAATTTGGGTTAAATAAATAACTCATATAATATAGTACACTGGCATTATCTACAAAAATACAGACAAGGTTAAAGGATGACAGATTATCAAAACATTCATTCATTCTATTATTAATCCTGTAGATTATGATACAATGATATAGGAAAAGTCTTTAAACTAATATACATTATTAAATTACAACACTCTTAATACTAAAAAATTATATAAGATATACAAAAATTTTATACATTATATACTTCTGCTTATATCAGTAGCCAATATTCGAGAATTCATCGTTCAAATAGTCCTCCGTTGAGTAATGGCAACTCTGAATAAGTAAGTTCTTCGATTTCCTTGGGAACTGATTTTTGTTTTGTATTTCTTTTATGTTGTTAGGCAATTTGTTGTAAAAGATACAGCCATCTACTGAAGGATTACTATTATAAAGTTCTAAGTTGTGCCCATATATTATGATAGTCTTTATTATTTCTTGTGTTATATGTATGTATTTGTTCATTCACTGTGCAGTTACACTTTTTTTTTTACATATAGGATTGTTTCTTGTATATATACTGTTAGTATCTTTAGATTTCTAAAGCTATCCCTGCATGATTCTAGATGTTTTAGGCCAGCAGCGCTCAGATTTCTTACTGGTATATCAGACTCTGATTACAAAGCTGCATCCATATCCAAGGAGAATATAGCACGCGAGTGTCAGATATTTCTCAATCAATGCGAAGATACTTCCCTCACATTTCACGTAGTTTATGTTTCTGTCAGAACCGGTCAGCGAACGGCCCAAACGGGCCCGAACACCTCCAATATAAAGAAAGCAGTCTTCTGGGATTTGGCACCATGTATATGTGGTGTTAACCGACGTTTCGGAGGAACGTACCGCCTCCATCTTCAGGGTAGAAGGAAAAATATAAGAAATCTACAAGCGAAGAGACCGTGAAAACCGGTAATTCCTGATTACTATGATTATGATTGGTGCATTTGCGATTCGACTCGTTGCGATAGGTGTATTGTGATTGGTTCTTGACATTCCAGACTCTCTAGTTCTAGGGGGATGCGTAGAGATGGCGGTAGTTCCGCACGTGTCTCTTCTCCTATATCAGATTCAACCATCCTGGTGGTAGCGTTGGCAGCCCTGTGATCCCTGTGACGTTGAATTCTGTTTGCGTTTGAAAATGTGAAGAGTATAAGTAATGTTTATGTTATATAATTATTCGGAATTAAGACTTGTAATCCGTATATCTTCAATAATACAGTTGTGTCAAGTTTTTAAGTATTAATTATTCATGTAAAATTGGTTGTCATGAAGTGCATGCAGTCAAAATGAGTAGCTCCCCAGTTAGCAAGAAAGGACGCGTATGCAGAGAATACGATATTTCTGAACTCTCACAGAATTTTGGTAAGGTTATGTTTGAAACACATTTAATAGTTAAAATAATTTTTCAGAAGTATGTTATAAATACAGTGGTGGTAACGTTATTCCTTACTATAGTGTCGTAAGAAAATCCCAAGCGTGTAAATTTGCTAATTTTTGACACTTTGTGAAATTATTAATTGATATGTTTATTCTCGTGAATATGTGGTGTATGGCCAATAACCATGCTTTAAACATTGATAAAACGAACTTCATAGAATTGTAACAAGTAACAGAACCGTGACTGATATTTACAGGATGTGACTGAACGGTGCTGACATTTGGGCGTGAGTTCCACGTACTAAAACAAGAAAAAAATGTCTATCAGTATGTGTCTGAAAACACTGTATTTGTGGGTTATAGCTGAAAGAGTACATTTATAATAAGTGCAAAAAATGTCTCCCATTATATTCAATACACACCTTATCGTGGACCACCGCATCCATGCTGAGATAGTTCCGGAGTCCTGACAGGCATCCAGTGTGATTGTGAAGTGCTTCATTATGAACAAGAGTTGCATTCTGTGGTATACTTTTGCTTCATAGTATACGAGTATACTGCTGCAGTTGGGTTTCAAGGCTTGTGGCTTACTGTCCTGGGATGGGGGGGAGAGGGAGGGAAAAGGGCGTTAGTAGGAGGAGAAGGGGGACGGGGTGGAGAGTTCTGGAATGGGTTGGGTTTTGTGTATATTTTAATCTGTCCTTATTAAGATGTCGAATATTGGATTATATGTGTCCGCCAATGCTTCATTCAACTGTAATCCTTGCTTGGTTGCCATATATATGTATAATAATTTTCTAATGTGTTTAGCATTTGTCTTTTTCTTTCCATGTGTAACATTTTCATGGTTTGGTCCAAGGTATTGCAGTTGTGTGGCATATCTAGTGTGTGCTGGGCAAATGTTGAACTTGCCCATTTTTTCAAATTTCTCTAATGTGTTTGTTATACCTTGTTCTACATGTGCATCCTGTTTGTCCTACATATCTGTGGGGGCAATCTTTACACTTCAGCCAGTCATGGTAGCCAAGCGGTCTAAGGCATGAATTATGGCAGGGCATTGTTACCTCTTTGAAGTAGAAATATATTTTAGTGGAAGTCATCTGTAACATACAGAGCCATGTTAACAGCTCCTTCTCTTGATACTATAATAGTGGAGATTACAGATTATAAATGGCTTTGAGAAAATGTAAGCAGTGTGAGTTATATTGATTTTTATGTGTATGTGAAATTACTATGTTATATTTTAAGTTTATGATATTCTGTTCCTTGAATTATTCTAGAAAGACTGAATACGAGCTTATCAAAGATTGCTGAACTCCATGGAAGTCTACTTTTATACAATATGAATATTGTTAAATACATTAAGCAGCTTCAATGTCATCTTGCAGATGTGAAGCATGAGTATAAGAAGAGCAGTGAACAGTGAATTATAGGTGTGCATTATTTAAGTAGCTAAACTATTAAAATATGATAAATAGGTATGTTAGAGTTACCAAGTCCCGTACATAGTTTCCATATCTAGGAAAGTTCGGTTAGGATGCATGATTGTTTAATATTAGAATTGCCCTGATATATGTTTTTAACTTCAGAAATTAAATCACTCAGCCTTGCCAGTGTAATCACTCCCATTTACTAGTCATTTCAGTTAACATGGCTAAAGGGAAACAAAAAGTTCACAAAGAATTTTGGTAGAGAAACCTTTTGGAACAACATCCAATTTGAAGAAAAAGAATAAAAGTAGGAGGAGATTGATGGTTATGTTGGATAATAATATGAAAGTGATCATATAGAACAAGCTTGTTGAGGGTATAAACTAAATTGAAATGGCTGAGCTAGTGCCCAGAAGACATGTAATTCCCAGGTTTTGAATTGTGGTGCCCACTTTCTTTCTTTTTAATTATTATACATTTTGAAATTCATACCAGCAAATGTAAACGACAGAAATAATATGCTCTCAGGAACTAATTCCAGAAATATTAGTGGCAGATGCCTGAAGCAACTGAAGCATGTGGCATTTAATGATGCAAAAGAAAGAGTTTTAAACACAGGTATCATTTACATACCAAGCGTAGTACTGAGGTATAAATTTTGGGTAACACCATGTGTTTTGAAATATAACACTTAACAATGTAATTTCAGTGTAACAAGCCCGAAAGTGCCATCACAAGCAGATAATAATTCTGCTATGAACAAATACAAATATGTTTCAATTCGGAATTCAGTATCAGAGTATATGATGTTCATATCTTCACTTAAAGTAAACACACCAGGGACATTCTTCATGATACCATATGATAAATCGACTACAAGGACAGATTGCTCTCTTGTTAGACGTGGTGGAGCCTCTGTCACAGATGTTTTATTTACATCAAGAGCTAACAAAATATAAAGGTGGCTATTATTATAATGTACAAGCCGCTTATTAAATTCAGAAACATGTGCTATGCTAAGTGATACTCTAGTGGTCTCCTTGTCTAAATCTGCTCCTGTTTTTACTGCTAGAAAGCGGTTATACCATCAGTCTTTTACTACTGCACAAGACAATCATGGTTTTCCCATATGTCATTAAATCTCATAAGCTGAAGATGAAATGTCCATTTGCTCTATATTTTCTTCAGTATAATAATGAGTAAAGGCTTATTACGCTTCATCGTCCTTTCTTGTAACATTATTCAATGGTACTATTGGCCGTGGTGTCACTTTGTAATTAAACCGTGGATTCTCTCCCCATCTGCGGTATATTTCCCTATGACTGTCACTGTTTTGACGTCTGATTATAGGCACTGGTGAACAACTGTAAGAAATCAACGTACTTATGCTAGTATAATACATTAATGCACATGAAAGTGTTTAGGCAGCACTCAGTGAACATACAATTTTCTATGGACCCAATACTCTTAACTAAAGTTCCATATAAGGTAAGGTAAAGTCCCTGTGCTAAACTAATTAAGCACTATGCCATAAAGTCGTATGGAGAAGTGGATGTATAGATCCACATTCTCTTGACCTTGGCACTAGCTGGAGGTGAGAGGTCAGCTTCACGCCCTGACCGCTTTACCCCTGGTACCCATTAGATAGGAGATCGGGTGGACCCCCGAGCTGGTCTGGATGACACGGAGAAGAGAAAATTGTTGACCCTACTGGGACTCCCAGTCCCTCAGTCATCCAGTCCATAGCCAGTCACTATACCAACTACGCTGTCCCAGCTCTTAACACAAAATCTTCCCATAATAATGTCTGTTAAAAAGTTGTCAACATGTTCAGTAAAATTAATCATTCATCACTCCATAAAGACTTTTTTTTTTCATATGCTAAAATATTTGCTATACTTACGTGCATGTTTTCTGGTCAAAATAAAATCCAGTACTGCATTCTTTGCTGTACCGACAGGCACATAGACACTCCTTTGGGTCCCACAGTTTCGTGTCATTTTCTGCTATACATTTTTGTTCCTCATCCATATTAACACAAAGGCAGCTGCACTCACTCTTTTCATACCGTTGTAAAGCAGTGCAGTGCTGGAAATAAGTTTTTATATACGCCCATTGCTTTATATAGAGGCAACAGTTTATATTCCAGTCTGTGATAAGAGCAAAGATTGAAAATATTGGTGCTGAAGAGACTGTTTAAACATAAGTGAACTCTGAGAGCAACAAAAGGAAATTATTCCGTGCTGGACTTTATATTTTGTACCCACTATAATTAGGGTGGAGGTGAAGTAAACATTCAAAATGCATGAGGAAACAAGAAGTGTATATACATTTTTTAAATTCTCTTGAAAAGAGACTAATTCAAACACCAAGTCATAATGGGAGGACATGAATTGAATTGAAATGGCTAAGGATACGGTGCAGTGGTGAACTTTATGATAATGGTGATAAACATCTAGCTTCCACAACAACACAATAATAAAAACATTTCTTGAACAATGGTTTAACAGACACCTGCACAGGAACAAAAATCCTTTATGATGTTTTAATGCCAAGATATATTTATGCTATCATAAGGGAAGGGCCGAACACAGTGATATAGATGTTACCATGTTTGCTTCACATGTGGGAGGTAAATTTCACTTGATACCAGCTTTCCTAGGATGGGTTTCTTTGGTTTCTGGAGGGAGATGCTAAGATGAATGACTCTCTCCTGTACTTCTCAATTGAGCATCCTTAGCCACACATCTCATTTGTCTCAGTCTTTCATGATGAATTTTGCTGTTGTAGTTATTGTAATATAACCAGTTGTTACAAGACTAGTGTACAGAATTTGAGGTAAGCAGTATTATATATAAAAGTAAGTATGTAAAGGTATCCCTGTAACAGGCCATGGAGGCCCATAGGGTTGTGAGATGTTGAGGTTCCCACATTTTCTAGACAGTCGGCTCATATATGGCGGTGAGGTTGTCAGCCTTACACACCAGCCACCCTTTACCCCCAAGAATATGCCTGGTACTCATTTCTGTTAGAGGCTGAGTTGACCCTAGGGCCATAGTGCGGCAGGAAGGATTAGGTAAATTGAAAGAACTCACCTCATTGGGATTTGATCCTGCGACCTCCCAGCTTGTAGCATAGTGCCTCAAGCAGCTATGCTAATGCATGCCCCAGTATGATATATAAAACATTGTAATGTGCGTGGCACTCATTCATATTTGGGACATTCCAGATATAATTTTTAACTTGGGAACCAATTATCCTATGACACTGATTTTCCTCAGCCCTTCCAAGACAATGCTTATCTATCCACTAACCCGTGCAATGTATGGAATGTCATCAAGTAAACCGAGAAATAAATGGGTGAGAATGGATAAATACACTAACATATAAGATTTGAGGCTTTCACGGCGGTGACTATGAAGAAAGCAGTCTTCTGGGATTTGGCACTGTGTATCTGTGGTGTTAACCGACGTTTCGGAGGAACGTATCGCCTCCATCTTCAGGGTAGAAGAAAAAATATATAAGAAATCTGCAAGCAAAGAGACTGTGAGAACAGTCTGCTTTTACCGGTTCTCACTGTCTCTTTGCTTGCAGATTTCTTATATATTTTTTCTTCTACCCTGAAGATGGAGGCGATACGTTCCTCCGAAACGTCGGTTAACACCACAGATACGCGGTGCCAAATCTCAGAAGACTGCTTTCTTCAAATACAGTAACATTTTAAATTTTTTGACTGGTACAAGTTCATTGTTCTCTGCCAAGATCCAGAATTTTCTGTATGAAGATAAAAAGCATTGTAGTCTGGGCTTACCTCCTCTTTGACTTTGCAGTCACATCTACATTTGACATGTTGCTCCACAGTAACATACTTTTTTCCTTTGTAGCTGAGTTTGGACCCACCTTCATACTTTGTCTCTATAACCTGTTAAAAGGAGGCTGCAGATCAGTTTGCATTACACACAGCCCAAAACAAAAACTTGTGCATAGATGTTAGAATAATATAAAATTGCTCTTTAAGAGCTAGAGTGTGAGTGTGTGGACCAGGTTCATTTGGCTCAGGAGAGGGGTGACTGGTAGACTCTCATGAATTCCGTAATGGACCATCAGGTTCCATAAAAGCAAGGAAAATCTTAATTAACTAGGCTTATCAAGAGGGATTGTGTTCCATGCAGTTACATTAATGCAATACATTACATGCACTATTAAGGTGGAACATGAAAACCCTACATGTTAGGAAAGAAGGGGGAGTAATTACCTACAATGTTGAAAGGAAAATTTGAGTGTGAAAGATAAAATAATGTTATGTACCTGGAAAGTGACAGGTTCTGTGACTGTTGGTTGGCAGCTCAGTAAGTCATGTGAACAGCACCCACCACAGCGCTCCACACGAGTGCAAGGTGGATAGTAAAACACAGATTTATCATCTGAGTCTTGTAAAGGGACTGTAACCAGCTCTAATGCACAGGTGGCTGACTTTGGCATCACTGCAGCTTCTGTTCAATGAAATGACATGTTACAAATTCATTCACCTCATTTAACAATGTTCAAGTTTTCTTGCAATCAGCAATAATAAAGACTGTGAGAAAGGTATTAAAACTGTTGCACTTACTTCTGTCAACATTATCATCATCACCACCAAATCGATCTGAAAATAAATATAAAATGAGATCTGTATGAGATTTTAACTATTCTTTATAATCATTAATAAAGAACTCTTGTACATCAGTGCTAAATAATCAAACGCCATCATTCCAATATTTTCACAGCCGCCTTAGGTTTGTAAAAAAAATTGGAATTTGAAGTTGGTTGCCATTCATTTTTAAAATCCATTTATTTTGATTTTGAATTCATCATTTCTCTAGATGTTCAGTTATTGTGCCTATCTATTGCTGACAGGTCCCTTAGAAAGAGCTAACCTCAGTCACTTGATGACTGATTTTAGCTCTTTCTAAGGGACCCAACAGAGTAGGTGTCTCCCCCCCCCCCACTTGAGGGCAGAAACAGATCCAGTTTCCAAAACGTTATGTTTTCTAGTTTCTAGAGTACTGGACAGTGGACAAAGTCCAAAAACCCAGTAATCTGAGTATTATACACCATCATCAGAACCCTTCAGAATCAAATGTACATGTACTGAAACACAGTATATAATTTTCTACTTGTCATCCATGACTTTCTACTGATCCAAAATAGTTAATTAGTAACTGCTAAATTGTGGCTATTATATGTGTAAATAGCTAAATTCTATGTAGGTCTGCTCTTGAAATATATGAGCCTCAGCCAATATGGTATATCATTTTGGTTTCGGTGAAAAGTGTTACCACATTTGTTAGGGATTTTATCTGGGAATTTTGTCTTTGCTAGCATCTTATCTGTAGTACACTTAAAATATCTCAATTGAGGTGGTAGTTTCTTTACTCTAGTGCCTGAATATCAGCAATTGTAATAAGAAAACTGTTTTTGTTTGTTTCAGATGTTTACAGATATTCACTTTGCCATGGCGGGTACTGATAATGAAAAGCAGGCTGATATAAATTTTTCTGAAGTATTTTGCAGTTTGCTGGATAATCATTGTGATCAGTTAGAAGCATATCTTGCTGATGATGCTGTATTACATTGGTTTGGGCATAGAATCAGCAGCAAGAATTCAGTTATTTGGTTTATGAAGTCAGACATTCCTGAAACAGTTCATAACCTGAAGTCAGTAAAACCTTCACGTACCATTCAGCACTAGAAGGAGACACTAGATGAATCAGTGGATGAAGAGAACAATGTAGTAACATCAGAAGCTACATGAAGATTCAGTTTTAAATGAAGGCCTTGTAAAGCCATTGGGTAGTTCAGGCTGTATGGTTCAAGCAGCTTGTTCAAAGGAAACTGATGTAATGTCCAAATTTAATCTCAACAGTATGCCTTTAGAGAGGAGTAGAATTGAGAAATACAAATCTTTTGAACCTTTTCAGCCTCAGTTTGAAACTCCAGTGAAAGCCCAGTAGCCTCAGAACAATACAGCAATGCAGGTATGAAGAAGATGAAGGAGATTGCCTTCCGAAGACAAAACAAAGCAAAGTTATCCACTTTGTGGTAACTCGTGGAAGCATACAGTTCCATCATATCAAATTGCCATATAAAGCAGCAGAACACATGAAGAAGGTGGCAGATACTGTGAAATGGAATCGCTTTTGCAAATTGCGGATTGCCTATGGCGCCACAATCACAGTCTCTTGCATTAGTCTTCATGATGATGGAATAGCTGGTAATTTTGAAATCTTGCTTCTGGTGTACCAAGATATATCACAGTGCAGGGTAAATCTTACTGAAGTATTTAATCAAATGAAATGAAGTAGAAAGACGTGTGTTGTGACTGTAGGTCCCTCCTACTTGTCATATACCATTCCACTACTACAAGTGCCTCTGATTAATATTACTGTTTTGAATTGCAGATTTGAGTTTGAATTAGTTACTTTGCTTTGTAGGGTTTTTTTATTGCTAGTGGGGTTGGACTAAGTCCCTTGTACTGTGGCCACTTCTGGCCTATTGTACCAGCCCCAGTTGATAGGTGAAGGTGATTGTGGAGCAGTTGGTGGAATGAAGATTGGCAGGGGAAACCGAAGTACTCGGAGAAAACCTGCCCCAGCGACTAACCACTTGAGCTATGGCGCAGCCTTGCTTTATAGGGTTGATTTTTAATTCTTGCAGTATCGGTGATCATATTTATCAAGCTCTGATAGTAACTTAATCAATAAACAGCCCTAATGGCTAGGATTACATTCCACTAACTTTGATGAAGATTGGTTTTTGTTATTTGTTCATCACCATACTTCTGATGCTTTAGTTTGATTAACATGGCGGGAGATTTTAATATATAACTTCTTTACATAGAGCACTGGAGAAAGACAGAAGTAAAATATGAAGCTCACCACCAGGTTCATAATAAATTAATATATATCAACTGTGATGTAAGCAAACAGAAACTTAAGAAGCCAAGCTTGTTGTTTCCACACACTTAAGAATGCTTACATTTAATAAACCACCAGTTGCAGTCACTGTACGATACACTGGGTTCATATGACTATATCGTTATGGTAACTTAAGACCTTGCCTTCAGTGTAAGGATGGCAGGAATGTGAATCCTTGCATATAAACAGATTCCTAATTTTCAGTGAATGCATCCTGTATGTGTTTCTTTATCGGAAGCCATCACAACACAACAAAATAATATATGTTTGTAGTTTCAAGTACTACTTGAAGTACTATTTTCCATAAAGAAATAGATTCCTAATATTACAGCTAAGTTTTGTTATAGAGTTGATTGAGCTGGTGATCAAGCCACAAGTTTTTTTGTCAATCATAACAATGCCAGTTTCTGTAGTATATAGATTATTTTTGTTAACAGACATAAGACAGTGCATAGCAATATCTTAAAAAACTGTAAGCTGTGTCACGATCTGTGCAGTTTCTTTCACTATGACCAAAAAAGTAATTTCTTGATCTTTCCACTTTACTTATGTACCTGATGCAAAGAAGTTTGTGTTTTTGTGAAGTTACAGTAAATTCATACAAATTGAGAACTGTGTTTTTCTTATTGTAATTTCTGTTTTGTACCAAAAAGTTTGTAATTTAATTGGATTAAAACAAGATCATATTGAACTTAAATACTCGCATTACAAGTTAATGGACCAGAAAAGGAAAATACACTCTTGATCCTGATCCACCAAACTGCAAGCTGTCTCAGGGGATACATGCTTTCTTTGTTCTGTTGTCAAGAGCAGACTAAAGTCACATAATGAATATTTCTGTGATGACTTAACATGGTGGAAACAATCATTTGATATGAAAACCTTTCAATAATCCTGCTGTAGTTTCACTGTTATGGGGTTCTGCTGGTTTAGTTCCAATGACGTACTTACTTCCAATTTCATATGCTGGATCTGCATAGCTGGGCTCCATATTTGTATTTATACAATTACCAAGCTCTGTGACATTTTCAATATTGTTGAGGCACTGGATGAGGTCAAGAGGAACCTGCAATGTTAAAAACATTCAAACATCTTCAGGCGCCTTAATGTTAAAACTTCCACACTGAACTAATATTATCCATTCATTACATATGCAACTGCACGCTTCACGATTCAAACCGTCATAGTTGTGGTCTAACTGGTATGCGATAAAATAGCACACGCTGTAGTTCACTTAATGTAAATCAAATAAAATATATTAAATTTCTTTTTTCTTTAAATTTTTGTAAAATTATTATTACACCTCTCAAGGGGCGTCACCCATTGTTTCTGTTTCCTTTCCTTCAGATGTTTTATTGCAGTAGTCTGTTTTTCTGTTCGTAAGCCCGTTTTGTTACATTTGCAATCTGTAATTTTGCCCCTGCTTGTGCATTGTCCCCCCGTAGCAGCGTGTGCTGTTGTCTTCACTTGTGACAAGTTAATTAGAAACATCATATTGATGTTAAAAGTGATATATAGAGCGCTAATTCTTATGGTGAACATAGTTTATTTTGGAAGTCAATAGATCAACAGTTAAAATATTCTGAAATCAAAACTGTGAAATTAAAAGAAATGTAAGTGAAGGAAAACCTCATGGACAGAGTGAAGGAAATGCTACTTAAAGGTGAAATTGGACCATGGAATTTCAATGGAATGAACATAAATTTACCCAAGAATACACAATGGAATAAGAGGGGAGAACAGGAAAAAAAATATATATATAAAGAGGAACTATTTAGACATATGGGAAAATATGTTCAAAATAGCAACAAAATGGGTACAGAGAATGTCGACAACAATCTACATAGAAAAAGTTATGAGTAACAGGTTATTTATATTACTTAAGAAAAGAAGACGAGGCAATAATTATCTACACTTAGGAATGCTGATGTTCCATCCGAAATTCGAACAGAACACCTCAAGAATGAGTTAGAGCGATAGGCCTACTGGTTTGGTCAGGGGTGACATTATTTTTAGACTTGTAAGAACAAGACTTACGTCAGAAGCGCTCTCATCATGGACCTTCCGCTTTAAGGCATCGTTACTCTAGACGAGTATGTTCCTGTACTACAAAACGTATTTCATGAAGAATTAGCGTCGACTGTCTATAGCTTACATTCTTGCCTGTGTTATATACATACGGACTGAACTAGAATTTATTGTAGTATGAGTGTCAGGGCCAGAGACTGAACTGGGGTTGAGCCTGTATGTACTGCGTGCTCTAATTCCAGAGCGCTGTCTTCCTTAATGAAGAAGCGTCTAGTGCCTAACTATTCCCCCCCCCCTTTTAGAACCTGAAGATTCACTGCAGTGCTCACAAGAACTCTTCACTGTTCCTTATCCTCAGCCAGATGAATCTAATCCACAATCAATTAAGATCCATTTTAATATCATCCTCCCATAATGACTAAGTCTTCTAAGTGGTCCCCTATCTCCAAGTTTTAAGGCTAAAATTTTGTATGTAATTCTCATTTCTATATTTGATGAAGAATACGGAAATTAGTCTCATAAGTTCTGGAAGAAAGCTCATGTAAAAGCGGGCAACTGTGACGAAAAGCAGCTCCCTCCAGGAATGCGGTTTAGCATCAAGCTGGCAGCCCATTCTTGTAAAAACAGTCCTACTCAGATTCCTCGAACGAAGAGAAACCGGACCGGTAAAAATCCGACAAGTGATAAGCAAAACGGTAGATGATTTCAGGAACAGAATTTTGTATGCAATTTTCGTTTCTATTGATAAAGAACGGAAAAAATGAGTTTCGTAAGCTCTGGAAGACTACTCATATGTCTTCATGGCATAGGGCTTAATTAATTAAGCACAGGGACAGCTTAACCTTGTCATCTGAGGGAGATTGATTTTAATGTTTTGGGTTGGATTTAACTAGCTCAAGGTAATCCAATGACGAACTCCCGTTTGAGTTGTTACCAGATAACTGGTTATGCCGACCGCTTTCCTCACTCCATAAGGAGAATTATGCTTGCTGTATAATATAGACACGGGTTTGTCTGTCTGTGTGTCCATTCCAAATTCTCTTCATTAATTATAGAATATCATACATTAGAAGTTCTCAGAATTACTGGGTTTTTGGACTTGTCCATCGTTCGGTATTTTAAAAACTAGAGAATACAACGTTTCGGAAATTGGATCTGTTTCCGTCCTCAGGTGAGGGGAAGACGTCTGCTCTCTTGGGTGCGTGAGAAAGAGCTAACTTCAATCACTGGGTTCGGCGACTGATCACCTGAGCAGAGTTCTTATTGAGAAACACAGTAGATCGGTAGGTCAAGAAATTTCCCGCAACTTGTGAAATCTACATGTTCATTAACGTGTTCACAAAATCCCACCACTCAGCCCTCTCTTGAATCAGATAGATCTCAGTCCACGCCCTCATCCATTTTATTATTATTAACGCCCAAGTCTCTCAAGTGGTCCTTCCATTCCTGTTTTCCGAACAAACTTCTGTTTGTATATATTTATCACCTCGGCACTAGATGGAGTGAGTAGTCAGCTGCAAGCCCCGAACATTTTGCCCCCGGCGAAAGAACCCCCAGTACCCATTGCGGACGGGTGGGCCCCAGAGCCGCTCTAGACGCAGTGGAGAAGTATCTCTTGCCCTGACAGGAATCGAACCTCGGCCGACCAGCCCATGGACCGTTTCTGTCTCTCAGTGCCTAACATATTTACGGTGGCGGTTAAAGGGCCGGCATAGGCCTACACCTTATGTATTCAGTCCATTCATTCATTCATTCATTCATTCATTAGGTCCTAATGTTCTCCTCAGCACCCTGTGCTCGTACACTGTTAACCCATACTCTTTCCTTGAGCTGTTTCAGGTCTTCTGCCTTCCTTGTTTTCGAAGAACCACAGGAACGTTTGTTAAGTGGGTCTGAAAATGTGGTTGTGTAGTCCTACGAGTGTTTCTGATGTTCTGAGAACGGAAGCCACAAAACCTACGGATATCCGGAAATAAAGAACCGGATAAATTATTGCTCTATATTAGAAGCTCATTAGAAATGTTCCAACTGTCGATGACCCTATTAACTGTGCGTCAGGCATGGGTTAGTTAAATTTCGTGTTCCACCACTTCGACCGCCTCTATGGTCTAGTTATCTGAGTTCCTGGCTACAGATCCAGGTGCTACCATATTTTCTGAGAAGTAGTGGCTCCAATGACTTCATCGGGAATCGAACCCGTGACCTTATGCTTGTAGCATAGTGATTCGATCAACTACGCTACCGCGAGCCCCTAATGAAAAGTGAAAGGGATGTTAAAACCGGGTTCGTTAACCAACGAATTATTAATCGACTTTCATGGAGTAAACTAATATACATTAATTGGTGATGACTGTACACTTCATTCTTACAACGAACTGAAGACTAAACACAGCAGTATGGTGAGTAATGTCCACAATTCAAAGAAGTCTTTTAGCAATATACAGCAGACTGGACTCATGGGCGGATGTAATAAATTCCTGACATTTTTAAAATGAAGGTCGTAGAAGGACATCTTGTTTACTTACGAACGCCGTCTCTAGCTTACGAAACGAAAAAAGAAAAAATGACAAAGAGATTTGACAATAAAGTTATCTTTATGTCTAGTCGTCACTCCACGAAGGTGTATAGGGGGCGCAGAAATAAAGCTCCTCGCTATTCGAGACAAACACATACACAAACCGATAACAGCCAAAGGTGCCGTTGGACCGCATCATAGGGGCGTGCAGGTGTACTAATTCTATTTAGAAAGAGCAGTCCTGATACCTTTGTTCCCTCGCATCCTTCCCTCTCGCGGATCAAGCCACGATTCTCGGTAAATGTGTTTGTCTGTAGCGCTCAACGCATCCTAGAACCTTTAAATTAGCTGCATTTAATCAGCTTCACGTTCCGGCTATGTTAAGCCCAGTGAAAGTGCCCTAGTATTCACTGGAAGACTGTGAGGGTCGAAGAATCGGTTTATACATGATGGTAAATAAGAAAACCACCCCCTTACGGGGAATCGAACCCTTGCCCACTTTGTAGCTAGTCACATTAATGACTAAACTATCCGGGTTCATACTCATGATAGCAAATTTATATCTGAATACAGGTAGAGGCCTTGCAAAGAGCTGATCACCCGCCCAAGAAGACCTGCCGATTGTCTAAGATCTAGTAAACTGAAGTGAAACGAAGAGTTTCATGGAGGTAGGCAAAGACCCAAATTGGGGTCTTGTGCTCTCCAAGAGAATGCCGGGACAGTATCTCGATTAGGCCAGGACCGCCTCCTTCCACATCCTTACTAATTCCTCTACAATCCTACCATTCGACATTATTTAGTTTTTATACTGAAAAAGCGCCGTTACATAATCCACGTCAGATAAATGGTGGTCCCTATCGGCGCACGGCTGTGGGGCATTCAGATGCTGGAGACTGTCAGAGCTGAGGACAGTCGGCCTTCGGAGAGCCCCACGCAATGCCACGGCTGTATCGCCCATAATTACAGACTCACGTCGCGGACTTTGGCATAAGAACTGGATCCATTTGTCACTAATTGCAGGAAACAAGCAAACGTGGTAGGCGAATGCCTAAAGCTCATATTTTAAACAGGCTGCTATATAACCAGGGATGGAAATGGGGGTTCAGAGATAATCATTCCAGGGCCTTGGGGAACGACACAGCACATAGGTCTACAAGGCAACGCCGTTCTTGTACTTAATTATGCAATTTCATGTAGGCGTATAAGCGAGTAAAGATATAGCTGCATATATTCTCAGGTTGGTAGAAATATAAGACTCTAGCCCTGTATTTTGGAGGTGTTTGGTTTGATTATCGGGAGGGACACCGATTATCCTGAGGTTTTGCGTGGTTTTCCTCAGTCCTTCCAGCGAAATTTTGGGGTAGCACCCTGATTAGATTACAGCTTCCTTCCAAATGCCTTCCCAATTCATCATCATTCATGTATCTCTCTACCATTCGTCGCAATATCGAAAAGATCGTTAAATAGCCTATGGAAAACGCATTGAATGGAGGTGAGTGGTCAGCTTTACTCCCCGGCCGCTT